TTCAGATGAAGTCTTAAAGGCACAGAAACAGGCCATCTCCATGTGCCAAAAGATGAGCCAAGCGTGGAAGACAACCAGCCTGGCTAAAACAGAGAATTTCATCTGGGACTCAGGAAAAAAAAAAAAAAAAAAAAAAAAAAGAGTGCTAATGGCCTTTGGAAGAAGGGGCAGGAAACTCAGGGGGACTAAAAAGATGTAGTTAAGCTATGCAGGGAGAAAATTACAAGGGCTAAAGCCCAAATAAAACTTAATCAGGCTACTGCCATAAAAGACAACAAAAATGTTTCCTTAAATACACAACAACAAAAGGAGGACTAAGGAGAATCTTCATTCTTTATTGGATGTGGGGGGAAACATAGTGACAAAGGATAAGGAGAAGACTGAGGTACTAATGCCTTCTTTGCCACAGTCTAGCAATAAGACCAGTTGCTCTCTGGGTACCCAGCACTCTGAGCTGGAAGACATGGAGCAGAGTAGCTGCACCTCAAGTACTGTGCTCAGTTTTGCGACCCTTATGACAAGAGCTAACAACAAACCTTGTGAAGAGTCTAGAGAACAAGTCTTAGGAGAAATGGTTGAGGGAACTGGGGTTGTTTAGTTTGGAGAAAAGGAGGCTGAAGGGAGACCTTATTGCTCTCTACAACTACCTGAAAGGAGGCTGAAGAGGGGTGGTGGTCAGTCTCTCTCAAGTGTTAGGAGAACAGGAAACAGCCTCAAGTTGCACCAGGGGAGGTTTAGATGGGATATTAGGAAAAATTACTTCTCTGAAAGGGATGTCAGGCATGGCAACAGGTTGCCCAGGGAAGTGGTTGATCTTAAAGGTCTTCTCCAACAAAACAATTCTACGATTATGTTTGTCTACTTTGCATTTTAAAATTTCACAAAATCTCTGTCAAGCAGATAATAGTCTATTAATAACAAAAATATACCAGCTATTCAACAAAGAAAGTAAGATACACTGTTACCTACTTTTATAGAAATCACCAGAACATTGGCTAATATGTAAAAAATATTATATGTAATACCTGCTTTGTAAAAAGTAGTTCCTAAAACATAAATACATGCACTACAGAATTAATTCAGGGAAATGCACTGGAAGGAATAACAGAAGTGACTGAGTTGCTCACATTAAAGAACATAAAATCTGTGTGGGACTCAATGTGGAAAATACTGGAAGCCACATCACTGTTATCCTAAGATACCTCCTAGGAGAGGTATTTTTTACATTTCTGATCGATTCTCATACCTGAATTTTGTTTCCCAGTTACATCTTATTTGTATACATTTTTAATATCACCTACCTTCAGTCTTTGTAACTACCACCTGTTTTTCTCTGTAACATTTGCATTTAGTGGTGACTATAGAAGCAATTGTTTGTTCTGAGTATAACTAAACTAAGGCGGCCTGATTTTTCTTGTCTACTGACCATCTCATTCTGGTACATAGTAAATACATTAGTCTTTTGATGATCTGATCTGTAAAATAGTAGCAATACAGCTGTTTAGCAGTAATCTCAATACCTATAGAGCAGATCTCATTGTTCACAATTCTGAAATCCCAGACAAGAATTCAAGAATTGTTACCTTTTTTGGTAATTTTTTTCTCTTTTTTTCTTCTTCTTTTTTTTTTTTTTTTTTTTTTTCAGTAGGTTCTAATTGTGCCAAACTCATTATCCTACTTGTAATTAAATGTGTATGTTTGGTCCCAGTTACATTTTATATAGATAGATCAGTATGCATTTTGGTATATGTGCAACAGTGAGTACTGCAGTTTACTTAACAGGTGAAACTTCAATCAAAGACTATAATAAAATTCCTTTGTGTTCTGTGAGACCTCAGAAGTCTCATTACATAAATATATTACAAAACAGAGATTATAAACAAAATTTTAAATTCCCTGTGGAATTTTGTGGCAACACTACCTAGTGTCTATTAAATTTAACTACTGATAATTGCATATGGCCTACCGACTCCCTCTGTTACAAACTGTGTATGTATGTGTGCCACTTAAGAGAGAACGAAGCTCATTTATTTGGCAAAATGGTTCCTATATAGTTGATAAGTCCTTTGGGGACTTTATTGTCTGAAACGCAAAATGAAATGTGAGATCGATCTTGTTGGTGTGCTGTTTTTTTCTCTTCTTTAGTGAGTGATTGTTGTAGAAATAATTTCTATGCATACATACGAGCTGCTTTGACAGTTACAATTCTACAGTAAGGCTCTCCTCAGTATTAAAAGAGATGTAATGCATTCCTCAAAACATAGATAATAATATGTTAATTTTAACTTCCCACCTAGATGTTGAATAATCATATAGAAGGATGTTAGCCCACAGACATGGTTCATGAGGCAACATGTATAAACATACATATAAATGCTACAAAACAGATTCCATATACTTATGTGTATTGGAGAAATGTTAAAAGTATGCACATTTGCTATTTTAAGAGCTGGAACAACCTCTTCCAGCAAAATTGAGCTGCTTTAATTTTGTACGTGCATTTAATCTTATCTGGAAACTTTCTGATGTTAGGAATAGAACAACTGTAGTTTCTCACTATGTTTGCTGCCAGAATCTATGCTTGGTTGCTCAACTAAAGACCTTACATTGCTAATTACTACCACATGCCCATATCCCAAGCAAAGGAAAATTTATCGGTCCTGACAATCCATTCTCTCAACACTGAATTCCAAATGAAAATCTAAATTTTGGCCAAACATAACATTTCATCAATCTTGTTCTACTGACTGCAAAAGCAACATCAAACAAGGGGTGCTAATGCCTTTTTGCTGTGCAGTTCCGAAGTGAGATTCTTTGATGAAAGACCCACATGAACAAAAGATGTATTTAAACTACTTAGTAATTGATAATCAAACCAGAAAACAATGCATAAAGTAAATCCAACAGTTTATATGCTGGTAACAGAGTTGAGTTTCAAATTCAAGTTACATGGGCAGTAGAGATCAGCAGAAAAAGCAATGCCAACAGAGCAAGCTAAAAACAGATATTGCATGTAAATAAAAACAAAAAGAAAAGGGGGAAAAAAAAAAAAAAAAAAAAAAGCACGCCCAAAAGCTTGCAGAAGCCTGTAATCTGGTGTTGAGCTTTTCAGAATGTTGGGTTCTGGCTGAAGATCAGGTCCAAGTTGAGAGACATCTTGAGCAATGCTGGGTACTAGTGACAATGTAGAATGGAAGAGACTAAAACTCTCTATGTAAAATTGTTTTTAACCATATTCCCCTCTGCTATAACTGCTTTCCTTTGAAGCCTCAAAAACAGAGGTGTAAGTTCTGTGTCTGAAAATCCCTCTTTGAGAAACAAAGTATGAATACAAATATGAACTTGAGTAGGCCTCTGTCACATGTAAGAATTTTGGTAAATTAATGATACTATGGTATCTCAGAAATAGCTTTTTTTTTTTTTTTTTTTAATCTGGATAAGTGAATTATGATACTAACTTCCAACATTAGTGTTTACAGTAAAAAATATTTAGACATTTGAGAGTTTCCCAAAAATTGGCAGTATTGACGTTCTCAATTGTGTCATCTCATCGTTTGAGTATTATTGAAGGTACAATAGTAAAAGCCATAACTAAAGAAAAAACTTTGATATATCTACCCAGTGATGTAAAACAGTAATTTAGAATTAGCTCTGTGGGACATATACAGTCTTTCTGCTCTACAGAGAAACAACTTGATAAAACCATAATTGACATTTATAAAATTATGCATGGGTGATGATTTGCAAGGAATAAAGTAAGAACCGTATCTTCTTAAAGTAGGACAATTAATTAGATGTGTTGCTTGCAGTAGCTGTTTTATCTCACATCGAAAGGATTCTATATGAGTAGGTTTTGGGGGCAAATCTATCTTTACCAGCGAATGTCACAGTTATGTGTAATGAAACAAAAGAAGGCAACACTAAAGGTGACATAGAGGAGAAACAACTATATTGCCAAGTACATCTAGCTCATTAAAGGCTATATCCCAGCAGGTTCCCACACTGGGAATGCCAGGAAGGGCTGGCTTTAACTTGGTCAAGAAAGCAAGCAGCCTTTCAATAGAAATATAATGAGCTAATAGGGTCCAATAAAATGTACCTTTTGCTACCAGGGAAAAAGTAGCAATTTTTTACAGGTTTGGTTTTTGGTTTTGTTGGGTTTTGTTTTGTGTATTTTTTTTTCCATACTATATTGACACTAAGGCCACTACCTGCTGTTCTTAGCATAGGTTTTATACAGTGTGTGAAGAGAATCGCTTTCAAGTCCTAAAATTTTAAGTGTTTGTCATATTCATATGAAGTCAATAGGAGCTGCATGAGATCTGAATCTCCTGTTTGAACAATGAGAAACAGCAGTATCAGACTTCTGACATAGTCAGACTAATGGAATAACCTGATCAACTCATATTTGTACTTTGCACTCCCTTTTTTTTTTGCAGAGCTGTCTGCAAATCATGTGAATTATCACTGTCGCTTAGTTATGAACTGACCACATGATAATCTGATGCTCAAAACTTTGAAGTGACAAGCCAACCTTGTTCCAAAAGCTAACTGCACATGCAATAGCAGCATTTTTTTTACAAGATATGTAAGTGTAGTCCTAGTGGTAACCAGGTTCTCTTGAAGTAGGGACAAAATGTTGTGACTTGTACCATAGCATAGCCCAGGTCTCTAATTATAGTGTGACAACTCTCCAGTGGTAATATCTGATGTCAAGGAATACAGCCTTACAAGCTGTGAGTCAGCTATTACCACCTTCAGGGGCTCTTTAAAGTCACACAACCACACCTGGTCTTTTTTGACTTACTTTCTGCCTCGGGTTGAGTTATAAGTCCCGCCGTATTTCTTCCGATTAAGGATGAGAGCAGCAATTTCTGGCACGTAGCGAGCAAACATTGCCTACATGCATGAAACAAAAGAACAAAAAAAAAAAAAAAGAAAATGGCATGCAGAGAGTGTTCTACTGCAGCAGAGGCAGCAGAGCCTCTTGGGATACTTACTTTCTTCCACTAACCGCACTATAGGAACCACCATATTTCTTGCGGTTTCCTATTAACTCTATGATTTCAGGGACGTAGCTGGCAAACATGGCCTAAGAAGAAGATAGGAGACAGAAGAAAAGACTAAAAAGAGAGGCCAAAGAAAGGGGGATGATGAATATTTTCAGAAGATATATATCTTTAAGATCTGAAAATGAAAAAGAATTAGATCTATGAAGTTGTTTAAAAAGAATATTTTAAAAAATAAAAGTTCTTATCCATCAAAACAAGAGGGCTCAATGTAACAGTTGGTCTTGGAGAAGGTGCACACATCATAAATTAAGAAAATGGTCAAAAGAGGAAAAACAGGCACACAAAACAAAACAAGAACAAAATCAATTCAAGCTGGTATCATAAAATAGAGTGATGTCTAATTCTTTCTGAAGAGAGGAGGAGAAAAAGCCTATTCAAGCTGCACTGCAAAACACCAAAACCCACAAGTATTACTGTTACATTTCTATTTTAAAAGAAAACTTCTTTCCTCCATGATTAGGATTCAAAAGAACGCAAAACCAAGATAAAGTTAGGGTTACTCCTGTTGTCAAGAAAGAAAAAGGTCATGCCCCCCAAAAAAAAACTTTTCCAAAACTTCATGTTTTTAAAAGGATAAGAATAACATGTGATAGAAAAAAAGGTTTTGAGGAGAAAATAAAAATTATTCTGCCATGTTTAGTCCAACAAACAACTTTCTTGTGGCCGGATACTTCAAAGAGCTACTGCCAGTTCACATGGTTCATGTCTTCATATGTCAATAAACAGAGATGGCAATGTATTGACTTATGCTCATATATATGTATCTCTGCATGCCTCATATATAGCATTCGTAACATTAGTTATATACATAGCACCTCTGTTAGATGTATGTATATGTGACATCAATATATGAGAGAGTAAACAATATACATATGTATGTATATGCACAACATATGCTGTGAGTCATTTATAAAACACTAAACTTGCACAGTATAAACATTAAAATAAACCTTTCAGGTTTAGAGAATAACATTGCAACAATATGACTAACAATACTACTAATACTGATAAATAACAGAAAGTTGACATAAGATAAGTTGCTTTTGTGCTACCTACATAGAGGACAAAGAGCACAAGAACTTGCTGATATGAAAGCAGAGTGGTAACGGCCATGTGATAGATTGTGAGTTAAAACTCTGCTACATGACATGAAGGGATGTTTGAAATTATAGATAATGTGATTTGCCATTATCTCAATCAGGCAATCTGCTCTTTAAGGCAGTCCAAAGCCACAGTGTTTGTTGGAATTCTGGGAAGGAACACAGAAGGGTGGGTAGGACTTCTGAAACCGCAATGTGCCTTTAATATCAGTAGCAGGCTCAAAAAAAATTGTACTAAAGTCACTAAAAAGTAAAGGACTATAAATAATATTAGAAATTGAAATATTAATGCACTCCATATATTCACATGAATTACTCATTTAAATGGATTAGAAAAATTCTGACTTTACTGAACTGGACTAATTTGACGAACTTTGGAAAAATATTTAAAAATCAGATATATTATTTCTTTACTTACAGCATTGAAATATGCAGGATCAAGTTTCAAGGTAATAATAATAATAATAATAATAATAATAATAATAATAATAATAATAATAATAATAATAATAATAATAATAATAATAATAATAATAATAATAATAATAATAATAATAATAATAATAATAATAATAATAATAATAATAATAATAATAATAATAATAATAATAATAATAATAATAATAATAATAATAATAATAATAATAATAATAATAATAATAATAATAATAATAATAATAATAATAATAATAATAATAATAATAATAATAATAATAATAATAATAATAATAATAATAATAATAATAATAATAATAATAATAATAATAATAATAATAATAATAATAATAATAATAATAATAATAATAATAATAATAATAATAATAGCAGCAATAATACAGCAACAATATTTATAGTTTTTACCAATCCCCCAAGGATGAAGAAGACCATGAAAAGGCGACCAAGTGTTGTTTTTGCATAAACGTCTCCATAGCCAACAGTAGACATTGTAACCATCAGTAAATAAACACATTCCCAATATGTTAGCGGTTGATTATTTTGGAAATTTTCCCATGGATCCCCTGAGTTCTCCACCTAAAATGTAAAAGCAAATGTATAATGAATTAATTTGCATGGATTCCTATTGGCTTCTTTTTAAAATTCATATGGAGCTAGAGCTCCACAAATTAACTCTACTGATATATGCATGTAGGCCTGTGTGTGTGTCTATATGTATTTTGAGCAAATACAGAACCTAACCCTGTCTCAAATTTAGCATTATAGTTCTTTTGGCAATTTACATAACCTTGCCACTCATATTATTTATGGAAAGTAGATTTTCCATTTACCACTAAATAATTTAAATTATTAACACAGGTAAATTAATTTTTTATCAATTTGGTCAGAACTTTTTCAGAGTGAATCTTACTTGTAATGCAAACACATATCTTAGTATTTTTATTTTGAAGCATTCTGTAGCTATTAATGGCATTACTGACCATTAAGATTAGTGATAGACCACTACTTCTCCAAGAAGTGACATGCATGTGACAATGAACATGACCTACAAATTTGTTCCACAGTGAAAATCAGTAAAAAAGCTAGAAACTAGCATCCCCCAATGTAATTTTTAAAAGTTGTGGGGTTTTTCCCCCCAAAATTAGAAAAGCTGAACTATGTAATTAATATTTTAATTTTCTTTACCAAACAAATCAGTAAAAAGGCTTAGTTTAACACAGACAATTGACATACACCTATATATTCACATTCATGAAGTCATATGTACTTCTATATTATTTTACACGTTTACATCTAGCTATCTTACATTTTTAAAGTATTGTTAAGTGTTGAATAAAAAACTGTGACAAAAATCTGTTATCAGTGATTGAAAGACACAGCAAAAAATTCTGAAATATAAAAGCAAAAGAGAACGAAATAATATCTAAAAAATTTCTACCCGGAATGTCAGCAATCCCATTACTTCTCGTGGAAATACAAAACTTTGTTGTTGTTTTGTGTTTTTTTTCTGGCACAACCATTGATAGCCCAGAACTTCAGTATCATTTCAGCTCTGCCAACCGCTTTCAGGAGGCACTCCGGGTAGTTGTCTAGGAAACATTGCCACCTACTGGTACCTTGCAATCAGTCAAGAACTTGCATAAATTCAAGTCTCGTATTTTATCGTTGAAGTTAATGATGTATTCGGAATTAGTTTTAAGTAGAAGCCTGAAATTCTGGAAGCTATGATTTATTTCTTTTTATTGTATTCTATAGATGTGTTAAGAGATTATCCAGAGCGAGGTAATTTCAAGCAGTAAGCTAGCTCAGAGAGCAGATGATCCATGAGAAAAAGTCAATGAAGTATTTTCAAATCTACTTACCAAATGTATGAACCCAGCTGCTGTCAGCCACGTGCTGATAAATATAGAGCACAGATTCACTAGCTTGATGGAATTACTGAAAATAAACAAAACCCAACAACAAATAGGCATTTAGACTACAATTTATCATGCATTTTTAAAATGTACTTGAACACAACTGTGTATTTTAGACTGCATCTGACGACAATTTCTGGAGAAATTGTCAGCCTCCCTAAAAAACATAATCAAAAGCCTATGCAAAATACTTATTTTTTTGTCTTTGCAGAGTTCACTTTAGCAGCATTTAGACAGCTTGAAAGAAAAATCAAGAAAGACAAACGGAAACCTTAGCTGCATCTGTACTCGTAATCAAAGAGAAATAAATAATACTTTTTCACAAATAATGTAGTTGCCTCAGTACACTCACCTTCTCATCTTTCATTGCTATTACACCTCAGAAACTATTAACATGTAAATATTCTACAACCCAGCAATACCTCCATACCCGTCCAATGATTAAACCGAGCAACATCAAGTAGCATCAGATGCTGAATGTTGCATTTACAGATACAATTGACTGATTTTTTAAAATTATTTAATTTTTCTTTAGCTTGTATGCTTCTTCTATATCCACTGTCCTTCTGACCACAGATGTGTGGAGGCTCTAAAAATCAACAGCAAGAGGATGTTTTCTGTTGCATTCTCACCACAACACTTGCATACATGATTATGGGGCAAGACTATTTCACTACAGTTATAGCAAACAGTTAATGAACTATATCAGCCAATCTGTAAATGTGATGTTTTGTGAAAAAAAATAATATTCCGAAATTAAATAACTTAGGTATTTTACATTTCCTTTGCAAAGTCCCAAGTAATTTTCATATTATTCTGCTTGCATGAATTCCTATGGGCTTCTTTGTGAAATTCATATGGAGCTACAGTATTTCATACAACACTTCATATCTAAAAAATAAAAATAAAATTTGAAACCTACCAGTCAAACTCTGCAAACTCTTTTTTAGTCCCACTGGGCAATACATTCCCTATTACAGCCAGAAGTGATATTGAAGCAAGAACCTTGCCCAGTTCAGCAG